GCTGGAGAAAATGGCTTCCATTTTAGAGTGCAGGTCCTGAGGCTACCTAAGAGTAACTTCAGTGACTGTGGTGGGCTGAAGTCATGTGCGTAATAGGCTATTGCATTTAGAATTTAACATGCGGCTAAGTAAACCCATTATTTCAAATCAGTACGAACACAACATTGCTTCAATGAATGCAGATTATTTATACACCAGGGGCAGATTTTTTTTTTTTTATATGTATATATATATATTTTTTTCCCCCAGTTCTTTTGTGGTTGTGGTAATTTGTGCAGTTGTGATAATTTATGATCATGAATAATTCACAATAAACATCTGTCTCAAAGTGTAACTACACTTGACGAGCTGCGGTGTGAAGAATGTTCCTTGCAGTTTCAAGAGCAAACGCCCTGGAGACTTCAACCTGTGGGAATGAGTCATTGCATTTGGGAGAGGTGTTTTTTCTTACGGTAATAGACAAAGGTCATTCATCTGCCTTTCACTGCGCATTCATCTGATGAAGAAATCTATCAAAATGGAATGAATACTGGATTCCTGTTGTGGATATGAAAATGAAGTGCGTATGAAGTGTTGGTAAAAATAGTACAATACTACTTGTAAAATGCCCATTTATATTGCTTGTACTGACCTGGATAGCCCAGGCTGGCCTGATCTCATCAGGTCTTCAAAGCTAAGCAGGGTTGGCTCAGGCTAGCATTTGGATGGGGGACCTCCAAGGAATACCAGGGTCATGACGTGGAGGCAGGCAGTGGCAAACCACCTCTGAACATCTCTTGCCTTGAAAACCCCACGGGATCACCATAAGTCAGTTGTGACTTGACAGCACTTTGCACCATCAACTACATATCACGTCATTTGGAATTGGACAAGGCAGTCCAGGTTAGAAGGAAGATGTGCGGTAGAGCTGCCAAGCACATGTCTATGAGACTGGCAAAATCCTAGAGCAGTGATGGCGAACCTTTTAGAGACCGAGTGCCCAAACTGCGACCCAAAACCCACTTATTTATCGTAAAGTGCCAACACGGCAATTTAACCTGAATACTGAGGTTTTACTTTAGAAAAAACAACTCATACTTAAGATGATCCAAACAAAGTAAGGAAAGCAATTCCAAATGCTTTCATTTACTTAAAATTATTTGGCAGAGAATTCGACACTTTAATGATGGTCTGGGCCTGTCTGGGGCGATGGCACACGTGGTGACGTGACTTCTGTGGTTTAGCTACATCTCCCCTGGATTCCCTCCCCCTCTTCTCATTCAAATAGCGCCAGGGACTGGGAGGCAGTGGAAGGAGATTGCCTGCCACTGGGGGGGGGGGGAGTTAGCAAGAAAACAAAATACACTGTGAAAAAGCAATTTCTAACAATTATATATAAACAATTAAATATAAACTTATGCAAGTTTATTGGCCTGATAATTATTTTAAAGTTAAATACAATATTAATGGAAGGAAACGTTACAAAATGAAACTTTGAACATATTTTATTTATTTATTTATTTTTCGCATTTATATCCCGCCCTTCCCGATGGGCTCATGTCTTCTGAAACAAACAAATCTTAAAACATGTATGTGTACCATGTCAGAGGACAAAAGACGAGCCTCAACAACATGCAAAACAGAACACAAGTCAAACAAGATTGCTTTAACATCATACAAAACAACTCGAGGAGAAATTCAGGCACCATGATTTGTGACTTGTGTTTCCTGTGCTTTGGGCAAGCATTTTGTTCAAGGTATCTGCAGCACTGTGTTCCCTTGCTGACTTCCGGGGGAGGGAATTGGCAACACTATGACAGAGGTCTGCATAGGACTCTTGCCTGCAGACTAGTTTGGAGTCTGGGGGGGTTGGACGATGTGGGGGCAACATTGTGATGTCACTTCCGGGTTTCCCCCAGAAGTGACATCTCACTTTAGGAATCGCTGGAAAATTTATGGTAAAACCATGTCGTTTCTGGTGATTCCTAGAGAGGACATTGGCATTGGCTGATCTCCAGCCGACAGTGATCAGTTCCATTGGTTCGGAGGGCTGCTTTGGAAGGTGGATTCTATGGCATTATATCTAGAGTGGCCAACCTTCAGGTCTCCTGGCATTACAACTGATCTCTAGGCGAAAGAGGTCAGTTCACTTGGAGAAAATGGCCTCTTTGGAAGGTGCACTCTGTGGCCTTAGGCCCCACTGAAGTCCCTCCCCAAATCCCTTTCTCCTCAAGCTCCACCCCCCAAAAACTCCCAAGTATTTCCCAAACCAGAGCTGGGAACCTGACATCACACCCCATTGAGGTCCTTCCCCTCCCCAGCCCTGTCCTTCCCAGGCTCCGTCCCCCAAATCTCCAAGGATTTCCCCACCCAGAGCTGGCAGCCCTGCTTCTTGGAGCAGCCTGCTGAGAAGGCGAAGGAGCAGATGCCCCCCTGTGGCTCTTTCCAGTGGTTTGCTGGCTTCCCAGCCGGACTGCGTTTGTGCAAGCAAGTGTATTCTCTTTGCATGAGGCTGCATCTTTATTCAGTGCATTGTGTGAGATCAAATGCGGTGCGCTTTCATTCTCTGTATTGTTCCCCCGTGGTTGACCATGCCCCTGGGCATTGTGTCGAGCTTGGGAGAGAGCCAACTACCCTGCTGATGTGACTGGTTGGGGGGGAACAGGGAGGGTGTTTTCCCTGCGGGGCCCAAACCGTGTGCGATGTTCCTCCCTGCCTCTGACATACACAGTTCGGAGCGAGAGGGAGGCTTAGTGTGGGAAAGGGATGGCGCTGGCGTGACTGGGCCACTGTGCAAAACTATGCAGGAGTCTCCTACTTCCTTGGCTATGGATGGCTACTCCAGCAATGTGCCGGCATTTCTCACCAAGCTGTGGACGCTGGTAGAGGATCCCGAGACCAACCATCTCATCTGCTGGAGCATAGTGAGTAACGCTCTTTCGTGCCAGTTTTGGTATTGGGACTTCAGCGCATCAGAGAACCAATCCTCAGAGCCTTCTGTTTGGTCGTAGATGCTGAGGGCTGCGTTGACCATGGGGATGGTGGCTAGAAGCAGGTGCTCATCCTCTGTTGGATTCACACATTTGGTATTATTTCAGCAGCAGGCAGTCCAGTGCTGTACATTCAGAACAAGGTTCAGTGGGACTTATTCCCGAGCAAAGTCCAATCAACGTTCTGTGTGGAATGAATTAATAGACTGCCCTGGACAATATTAGTTGGTGGTGCTACGTGCATACCCAAGTGCCATCGTTGCAACAGAGGTTAAATCCTATGCAATAAACACTTTTAGAGCATATCTTTTTGCAGTCTTTTCCTGGGTCTTCTGGAGGGATACATAAGCTATACTGCCACAACCAACACGCTGCCTACCCCCCAGGCTTTGCCTTTTTTGGACAGAAGGGAATAGGCCCCTCAGTTTGAAAGATTAAAGTAAGTATAATAAGTCCTGTCAAGTCCCAAGTGACTCACAGTGATATCTCATAGGGTTTTCAAGGCAAGAGATGAACAGAGGTGTTTTGCCCATTGCCTTCCTCTACATAGCAGCCCTGGTCTTCCTCGGTGGTCTTCCATGCAAGTACTGACCCTGCTTAACTTCCAAGCACTGGCAAGATTGGGCTAAGCTGGACTATTCGGACCCCTACAAATAAATATGGGCAGAGTCAAATAGGGATAAGATGACACTGAAGTGTCCTGCAATATACAATTACAACTCTGGTTTTGATACCGCCAGCTCAATATTTTCTTGGAAACGTCTGCTCCAAATTAGATTTATGGAGTGTTGTTTGATAACTTGTCAGAAGAAATGTGGCGGCTCCCCTGTGTAATGTGTCAAATGGCCCTGAAATACAGCCTTTTGCTCAGTTATGCAGCATATTTATAAATGCTAAACATGAAAAATAAATAAATGATACATTTCTCCAGTGTTAACTAACGTGAGATTCTCATGTTTTACTTTGGGGAGGGTGAAAGTAGCACTGAGTTCCTTGGCTGGGGGGTCTCGAAAAGCACAGGAAGTTCAGGAGCGGCGCCCACTTCAAAAAGGGTGGGGATCACTGAGTTAACTGGTGTTGGCTTATGCATATAAGTGTCGTCAAGTTGCAACCAACTTACGGCAACCCCAACAACAGGTTTTCAAGGCCAGTGAGAAGCAGAGGCAGTTGGCCATCACCTTTCTTTGCAGACCCTTCCTTAGTGGTCTCCCATCCAAGTACCGACCATGCTTGGCTTCCAAGATCTGATGACATCAGGCTATAACCTGGCATCTTCCCTTCCAAGTGCTTGCTTATCAAGTTTTTAATTCTTATCCCCTAACCACAAATATCTCTCTTTTGTGCAATCCACCCAATCAAGGTTTGAACCCATTAAAAGAAAGCCCAGAAGAAACTATTACCCCACCAGATTCTCCTCAGGCTTGGGCCTGTTTAGGTTGTTCCACAAGGCAGAAGGTAACCAGATGGATAAAATTGGGGGGAGGGGGGTGTTGCCCTTGATTTCATTCCCATCCTTACATGCCTGAGGGAGGCCAATTTGTGTCACTGTGTTCAGAGCCAGTTTATTCTTCCTACTTTACCCAGCTTCAGGTCTTAACCATTTATTTCGGTGCTGAATTTTGTAAGATCTTGGGGTATATTTCTATTTTGTTATGACTTGTGGCATATGTTAATACTTGTTGCATACGGTGATACTCAACAGTGAATCTTAATTTTTTTGGTATTAAAATCTGGGCCAAAGCGCCAATAGGTGAGTCTCAGAAATGGAGGCCAAAATGTCGGCCGTTCTGTATTTGTACAGGCTGGCTTCATCCCCTTTCACGTATGGGTAGAATCTGAATCTGGATTAGAATTCTCCATTCCTGTGGAAGTGAGGACCCTTATCCTGTTTTTAACTCCTTTTCTTTTAGAATGGCACCAGCTTCCATGTTTTTGATCAGGGCCGGTTTGCAAAGGAGGTCTTGCCCAAGTACTTCAAACACAACAACATGGCCAGTTTTGTCCGGCAGTTGAATATGTGTAAGTAACACTCCAAGATCCGGAAGGGGCCATTGTACTGGTATAATGGGGGAAGAAGAGAGAGAACGGAAAGTGCTACACTGCATGCGTATCCAAGCATAACACTCCAATGCATCACAGGTGCCTTGGTGTTCAGAAAGAATGCTGCCACACAGAGTTGGGGTTGCCAGAAGAGCAAAGTGGCATGGCTGCCAGTTCTGGGTTCAAAATTCCTGGAGACTTGGGGGCAGAGCCTGGGGAGGGGCCTCAACAGGAATGGGATGCCATTGAGTCCAACCTCCAAAGCGGCCATATTTTTTCTCCAGGTGAACTGATCTCTGTGGTCTGGAGATCAGTTGTAATTCTGGGAGATCTCCAAGCCCCCACCTGGAGGTTGGCAACCCTAGCAACTGGCCTTCTTGGTGAACTTAACTTTTATGCTGCCTCTCCTGAGCCCTGCTGGAGGCAGCTTACAAGAAAAAAAAGGATTAACCTGAGTATTTTTGTCTGCCTGTCATGCCATTTCCCCCTTTCCAGAAAGTATTTGTGTAGTATCTGCCTGTCTGCTCCCATGTTTGTTGCCTGGTCACTAGGCAGAAACATGTATACTCAGAAGTAACACCCATTGATTTCAGTGGAACTTACTCCCTAGTATAGGGGTGGCCAAACTTGCTTAACGTAAGAGCCACATAGAATAAATGTCAGGTGTCTGAGAGCCGCAAAACATGAACAAGTATTACACACACATTTTTATTGGAAAATATGCAAATTTGCTTTTTTATTAACATTGATACTGCCAAAAGTAAAAACAAACAAAAACAGATATTAATAATATTTATTTGTCCAATGATATTTATTTGTTTGCTAATTATATTTTTTTGTCTGAGAGAGAGAGAGAGAGGTGGAAAGAAAGCAACTTTAACTTTAAACGTGTTCTCCAGCCCCCCCCCCCCCCTGCGCAACCGGGTTGTTTTTGTGCATTGGAGCAGGGATTTAAAGAGACAAATGCCTTCTCCAAGCTGGCTGGTGGGGGAGGGGAGCTTTGAGAACGCATTTAAAGTTAAAGTCACTTTCTTTCTCTGCTCCCCCCCCCCACCTCAAGCCTACCCAGGGAGTGGAACAGTGGCTGGGGAAGGGAAGACCCTTCACTTCCCCAGCCGCCTTGCTGGGAGCCGCACCATATGTGTGTAAGAGCCGTATATGGCTCCCGAGCCGCAGTTTGACCACCCCTGACCTAGTAAGTGTGCTTAGGTTTGCAACCACAGGTTCTTGGTTCAGGTTGCCTAATGCCTTTCACGCCTTGCCCAGATCTGACTGTGTTTTCACAGGTTCCTACCTTTTGTCCTCTTTTACGATAGTGATTAATTCCTACCCTTCTTTGAGATAGATTTTTGCCAGTATTAGCATCTTTTCCATAGTAAAGAATTAGCATATTTTCCATATTAAAGAATGAAACTCTGATGGCCAGAAGATTTACATTTCAAATCCAGTTGGAACAGTGGGGGGGGGGGCTGTAAAGATAAATGTCCTCTTTGCTGTTCTCTGACTGATGTGATCAGGCTTCGTGGAGATTTCCTGCCTACATCCTCAATACCTGCCCATGTACATACTACCTTATGTTATTCTTTACTGATAAACAACATATTCTGTACCCGCC